CCCCAAAACCCCAAAACCCCAAAACCCCGCTCTATAAAGACAACATTGACAAAAACAGAGTAATAGGCCAATATAAATGCTTTATCCAACCACTCCACTCTCGTCAATCCTTATCTCCTTACTAAACCCTAAAAGCCACTCCTCCATTTTCCCTACCCTCCTTCTAAACGCGTCCTAGCCTCTTCTCTCCATCTTCTACCCTCCTTCACCTCAATCACCCCTCTCCCTTACATCCCACCTGCTCTTCTTCCTCCAATCCTCTTCCCCAACCATCTCTAGCTCATCTACCTTATCACTAATCTCTAATTGCCCAGACTAAGAACTTAGCTCTAAATTCACTAATAAGGATATACTATAAAACCCAGACTCCAGAGATCCCAGCTTTGGGTTAATTTATTAGTCCAAGGAGACCAAATTTGTACGATTTTTAGAATCAGAGTTTATGGAAGCAAGAAGAAGCGGCGGATGGGCTCAAAACAATGCCTTCTGCTATAAAGGTGGGTATAAACTCCACTTTGGGGTAATGTTAAGCAGAAAATTTAATGCCCTACTTTTGGAATTGGGAATTTGATGTTTGGCATGGGTTTTGTAGATACGATGATGGTTTAGAAATAACTTAGCAACTGAGTTTGAAGGGAATAGCAAAAAGATCAAAAATTAAGTTCAGAAGTTGGGTTTTGTACTGAGTAAGATTACTTGTAGTACAACAGTGTTGGGTAAAAATAGGGTATATTTTTCAGAAATATGCCTTATAATTAGAAGGGCAAGGTAAGAAGAAAGAAAAGAATATTCATTGAGTGGAAAAATTATCAACCTACAATATCTATAGATTTTGGAAGTAAATTATCAAGTTTTGAAATATATAACTTGTTAAAACTTGGATTAGGATCTAAACATTTCACAAGCTCGATTTCAAAGAAATCTAAGACTTGATTTACTATCCCCTGAAAAGTTAAAATTTATGAAACATATAATAGTAAGTGCTGTCTAAATCGTCTGGTCTGTGTTATTCTAATAAAATTTGCGTTTAGTTTGACATAACAAAGGAAGAGAGCAAAGGTCCAAAAGAAGAGACTAAAATAAATCCTAGAGGAGATGTAAAGTTGCTTACTCCTAACGATAATCCAACTGTTAGACTGACTCCTTTAGATTTTGACTCTAAATTCCCAGATCCGAACTCACATAGTCAGTTTGAGAGAAGCATAGCTCCTAGACATGATGAGAAATCAGTTAAATTGTTTGAGAAAGTAAAGGAATCTTAAAGAACCAAGTTTTTAAAGAGCCAGTAGGGAATAGAAAAGCAAAGATGACCGATTCAAAGAATCTAAGAACTAAAGATAAATCATTTGAGTTAAATAATGCTTAGACAACTAAGATCCATATAAAAAATACATTTTAGATGAAAAAAATTTAAACATAAACCACCCATCTGGGGTTTTGGGGTTTTGGGGTTTTGGGGTTTTGGGG